GCTTGAAGGTTGGTCTTTCAAATTCACCTAGTCAGACAAAAATAAAGAAAAAATAATTTTTAAAAATGAACAAAGCTTTTGAGAATTATGAGGTTATGTAAAGCGATCAAGCCTATGACTTATTGGCATTCTGGAGAGAGAAGAAGAAAAAGTAAGCAACCTGGAAAACATATTTGAAGGAATAATTCAGGAAAGAATTTTCCTAGTCTTACTAGAGAGATTGATATTCAGATACAAGAAATTCGGACAACTTCTGCAAGATACTACACAAGATAACCATTGCAAAGCATAGAGTCATCAGACTTTCCAAGATCAATGTGAAAGAAAAAATCTTAAAGGCAGCTGAAGAAAAGGACCAAATTATCTCTAAAGGAAATCCCATCAGACTAACAGCAAACTTCTCAACCGAAATCTTACAAGTCAGAAGAGACTGGGGCCTATTTTTAGCCACCTAAAAGAAAAAAAAAAAATGCTCGTCAAAGTTTCATGCTCTGCCAAACTAAGCTTCATAAATGAAGGAGAAATAGTTTTTCCCAGACAGAGAAATGCTAAGGGAATTCATTAACACCAGACAGGCTCTAAACAAATGTCCAAAGGCGTTCTAAACATGGATGGTACTTGCTACCATAAAAGCACATGTAATTACAAAGCTCATAGACCCTATAAAGCAGTACATAATTGGGTCTACAAAGCAACTAGCTTAACACTATGACAAAAATAACACCTCACACATGAATATTAACCTTGAATGTAAATGGCCTAAAAGCTCCACTTAATGGGCATAGAGTAGTCCAGGCATGATGGCTCACATCTGTAATCCCAGCACTCTGGGAGGCCAAGGCAGGCAGATCACTTGAGGTCAGGAGTTCGAAACGAGCCTGGCCAACATGGTGAAACTTCATCTCCACTAAAATACAAAAATTAGCTGGGCGTGGTGGTGGGTGCCTGTAACGCCAGCTACTCGGGAAGCTGAGGCAGGAGAACCACTTGAACCCAGGAAGCAGAGGCTGCAGTGAGCCAAGATCGCACCACTAAACTCAGCCTGGGTGACAGAGTGAGACTCCATTTAAAAAAAAAAAAAAAAGGCATAAGGTGGCAAATTGGGGAAAAAAAAAAATCAAACTTTCTGTGGCCCATTAAGAGAGATCTATCTTACATGTCATAGCGCCCAGAGGCTCAAAGTAAAGGGATAGAGAGAGATCTGTTATGCAAATGGAAAACAAAAAAGAAAAAAAAAAAAAAAAAAAAAAGTAAAACAGACTAAACCAACAACGGTTAAAAAAAAAAAAAAAAAAAAAAAAAGACAAGGAAGGGCATTATGTAATCAGAAAGCATTCAATTCAACAAAAAGATTTAACTATCCTAAATATATATGCACCTAACACTGAAGCACCCAAATTTATAAAACAAATACTACTAGACCTAAGCAAAGAAATAGCCATACTATAATAGTGGAGGACTTCAACATCCCACTGACAGCACTAGACAGATCACTGAGGCAGAAACCTAATAAAGAAAACTTTGGACTTAAATTGGACTCTTGACCAAATGAATCTAATAGATGTCTATAGAATACTCTATCCAACAACCACAGAATATACGTTCTTCTCTTCTGTACACTTTTTTTTCTCTAAGATTGACCACATACTCAGTCATAAAGCAAGTCTCAATAAATTTTTTTAAATGAAATTATATCAAGTATCTTCTCAGACAACAGCAAATAAAAGCAGAAATCAATGCCAAGAGGAACTCTCAAAACCACAAAAATACATGGAAACTAAACAACAGAATCATTTTTGGGTAAACAATAAAATTAAGGCAGAAATAAAAAAATGGAAACAAATGAAAGTAGAGACACAATGTGTCAAAAACTCTGGAATACAGCAAAAGCAGTGTTAAGAGGAAAGTTTATAGCACTCAATATCTACCTTGAAAAGATAGAAAGATCTCAAATTAACAACATAATACCACACCTACAGAACTAGAAAAAGAAGAAGAAACAAAACCCAAAGCTAGGAGAAGGAAAGAACACACACACACACACACAGAACGAAATGAAACAGAGACCAAAAAAAAAAAAAAACACACACACACACACAAAGGATCAATGAAATGAAGAGTTGGTTATTTGAATGATTGATAGACCACTAGCTAGATTAACCAGAAAAAAAAAAAGATCCAAATAAACACAATCAGAAATTACAAAGGTGACATTACAACTCATACCACAGAAATACAAAAGATCCTCAGCGACTACTATGAGCATCTCTATATGCACAAACTACAAAACCTAGAGGAAACAGTTAAATTCCTGGAAGCACACAACTTCTTAAGATTGAACCAGGAGAAACTGAAATCCTGAACAGACCAATAATGAGTTATATAATTGAATCAGTAATAAAAATTCTACTAATCTGAAAGAGCCCTGGACCAGACAGAATTTTACAACTGAATTCTACCAGACATGCAAAGAAGAGCTGGTACCAATCTTACTAAAACTATTCCAAAAAATTGAGGATGAGGGATTCCTAACTCATTCTATGAAACCAGTATCATCCTGATACAAAAATCTGCCAGGGACACAATAAAAAAAGAAAACTACAGGCCAATATCCCTGATAAACATAGATGCAAAAATTCTCAACAAAATACTAGCAAACTGAATCCAGCAGCACATCAAAAAGATAATTCATCATGATCAAATGGGCTTTATGCCTAGGATGCCAAGATGATTCAACAGATGCAAAAAAAAGATGCTATTCACTGCATAAACAGAATTTTTAAAAACCATATGATTATCTCAATAGATGCATAAAAAGCATTCAATAAAATCTTACATCCCTTGCATGATACACACCTTCAACAAACCAGCCATCAAAGGAACATAACTCAAAATAATAAGAGCCATCTATGACAAACCCATAGCCAACATCACGCTGAATAGGCAAAAGTTGGAAGCATTGCCCCTCATAACTGGAACAAGACAAGGATGTCCACTCTCACCACTCCTATTCAACACAGTACTGGAAATCCTGGCCAGAGCAATCAGTCAGGAGAAATAAAAATAAAAATAAAAAAGCAATCATCCAAATAGGAAAAGGGGAAGTCAAATTATCTCTGTTCACCAAAGACATGATCCTGTATCTAGAAACCTCTAAAGATTCCTCCAAGATACCCCTAGACTTGATAAACAAGTTCAGTAAAGTTTCAGGTTACAACATCAGCATACAAAAAATCAGTAGCATTTCTATACACTAAAAATGCTCGAGCTGAGACCCAAATCAAGAACTTAATCCCATTTACAATAGCCACACACACACACACAGATAAAATAAACAAAATATCTAGGAATATATTTAACCAAGGAGGTCAAAGATCTGTACTGGGAGAACTACAAAACACTGATGAAAGAAATAATAGACAACACAAACAAATGGGAAAACATTCCATGCTTGTGGACTGGAAGAATCAATATTGTTAAAATGAGCATTCTGTGCAAAGCAATCTAAAGATTCAATGCAATTCCTATCAAGTTACCAATGTCATTTTTTACAGAATTAGGAAAAACATTATAAAATTCTTATGGGGCTGGACATGGTGGCTCACACCTGTAATCCCAGCACTTTGGGAGGCTGAGGCAGGAGGATCACTTGAGGTCAGGAGTTCGAGGGCAGCCTGGCCAGTATGGTGAAACCTCGTCTCTATCAAAACACACAAAAATTAGCAGGCGTGGTGGCACACACCTATAGTCCCAACTACTTCAAAAGACTGAGGTGGGAGAATCACTTGAACCCAGAGGCAGAGGTTGTAGTGAAAAAAAAAAAAAAAAATACACTCTAGCCTGGGTGACAGAGTGAGACCGTGTCTAAAAAAAAAAAAAAAAAATCCCCGTGGAACCAAAAAAGAGCCCGAATGGTTAAGGAATCCAAAGCAAAAAGAACAAATCCAGAGGCATCACATTACCTAACTACAAACTATACTACAAGGCTATAGCAACAAAAACAGCACGGTACTGGTACAAAAATAGACACATAAATCAGTGGATAAGAATAGAGAACCCAGAAATAAAGTCACACACCTACAGCTAACTGATCTTTAACTAAGTTGACAAAAATAAACAATGGGGAAAATGATACCCTATTCAATAAATGGTGCTGGGAAAACTGGCTAGCCAAATGCACAAGAATAAAACTGGACCCTCACCTCCCACCATATACAAAAATTAATTCGAGATGGTTTACAGACTTAAATATAGGATGTCAAACTATAAAAATGCTAGAAGAAAACCTAGGAAAATCTCTTCTCGACATTGGCCTATGACTAAGACCTCAAAAGCAAATGCAACAAAAACGAAAATTGACAAATGGGACTTAAATGTAAAAAGCTTCTGCACTGCAAAAGAAATAATCAACAGAGTATACAGTCAACCTACAGAATGGGAGAAAATATTTGAAAACTATGCATCTGACAAAGGACTAATATCCAGACTCTATAAGAAACTTAAATCAACAAGAGAAAACCAAATAACCCTATTTTAAAAATGGGCAAAGGACACGGGTAGACACTTATCAAAAAAAGACATACAAGCAGTCAACAAATATATGAAAAAATGCACAACATCACTAATCATCAGAGAAATGCAAATTAAAACTACAGTGAGATATCATCTCACAGTAGTCAGAATGGCTATATTCCAGGCATAAGGCAACTGTGCTCTTCACGACTTCTCAATGTTTATTCACATTGAGAAGTAGGTTCTGTCATTCTCTTGAATGAAGCTCACCTGATATGGTAAGTTATCCTCATTTTAAAACATTCAGATTTTATCCTACAATCTTTTCACATGTGACAGTTTTTCTGTTCTTTCTAAGCATGTAATGGAAGTCAAGGAATTCTACATCCTCACGATCTATTAATATGTCTTACCTTCCCACAGCAGTGAAATTCTCATTCTAGTCTTCTGAAACAGAGATAGCTAATAAAGAAAACTCATTTCTCCTTTAACCTTTTCCACGAATTTCAGGCCATTCTGGTTTTATTCTTTTCTACACAAAGTTTACTCTTTATAGGTGTTCAATAAATAAATATGAACACTAATTTTAAAAATAATTTATTAATTTGATCTCTTCATTTAAAGATAACATCCAATGCCTCCAAGTTCCCACCCAAGAATTCTGTTGGACAGGGCTGGAAAAGTTCTGGAGAACATTCTTCTAGACCCTCTAGGCATCATGTCACAGGATAGCCTCGCCACAGCTGGAAGAGTGACTCTGAGTATATGAACGAGGGGCTACAGTGGACTGTGCAGTACCTAGGGAGGGAGAGACAGGGTTGCAATGAAGTCTGGAGGGATTAGGGAATTCACTGATTGTACCAAACAAAAACTTATATTTCTTCTCTCCTATTCCATACCCAGGTGAAAGTGGGAAAGACAGGAAGAGAGACACCAAGCTGTTTTCTAGTTGACAGCTAGTGACTCTCTGATTATCTGCAAAGATTGGGAAAGGAATTTAAACATGACATGTAGATTTTCCAGAACTATTTACTTCTGGAGCCAGGAGTCCGTGAACATGTAGGTGGGATCTTGTAAGAAGCAGCCTTATCTAGATTGGGAATAAGCTATGATAGTTTTAGGCTGTGTGGATCTGGTCAATTTTTGTGCTGCCTACTTCTCTTTGCTTCTATGACTGGGCATTGCTGCAGAAAGGAAGAAATATGGAAATGACTTCATCTTTGATTTTTTTCCTTCTGGAAGCCTGAAAACTCCAGTTTTCTTCCCTGAGCCCTTTTTCTGTTGCAGAACTACAGTGTGGACTACAGGTCCTAACCATGGAAGATGGAGGTAGATACTTCACAGGGAATAAAAATAACCCAGACAAGTCGCATCTTTAGGTAACAGATACTTTCAAAGATGTACTTTCCTGCACCCATTAAAATTTTAGTCTCAGCCAATCAGAAAACCTGGTGTCCTCATGCACTGGGATAACAGTGCAGTATGGCTCAGGCTCAGGTTTTGCTGGGCACACCACAGTAGGCCACACACTCTCACATGCAATGGCTTCAGGTATGGACCAGGGTCTTTCCCCCTAACTGGCTTTGGTTATGATGTTGTAGGTCATCATTCTTCTGGCCTTAATATGAGAGAAGAAGGGGTGTAGAAGAATTGGTCTCCAAGTGAGAGCATCCAGGGTGAAGAGTGTGGGAATAAGGGTCGTTAGCACAAGAGAAGAGGCAGGTGATATCCAAGGCATGTAGTAATGGCATAAAGGTGGAATGTTGCTCTCATTCTGCTGAAGTGGGCACCATGGAAACCTTGGTGCTACCAGTTGCCAGTCAGGCCACAAGCCCAAGAACAGCACCAGGCAGTATAAGGACATATAAGAATGACATCACTTCAGATAGTCCTGAGAATGAGACCTAGCCCTGTTTGGGGCAAACCACTCGCTGGGAGCAATAGTACCCTTCCTGCTTCCCTATCTGGGCTGATTGTAAGGAACAAATGAAATCATGCACACCAATGTGCTTTACACCTGTAACACTCTGCCCCAAGAAGCTATATGCCCTTTTGAGACTCCCTAGATGTGGACAGAAACATAAACTTTCTGCCTTTCTACCTTTTCCTTGGTCACCATTGCTGAGCACATGCTCCAGCCTCTCCCTCAGGCGGTCATTGAGGCTGACAGACTCCTCCAGGCGCTGGCGCAGTTTCTGGATCTCAGCAAGATTCTTTTCCAGCAGGTCAGCCGGTACTGCAAACCACCAAGACATAGGAGAGGTAGGAGGTGGGGAAGCCTGACCATCCCTGGGCAGCTGTGGGGCCTGCCTGGCATCTGTCTGCAAGATCTCTACCTATCTCTATCCTTCCGTCAGCTTCTTCCTCTCTCCTTGGCATTCAGGAAGCACCAAGCAACTTTAGTTAAAGCTCCTGGGCTTTCAACCACAAGGTGGCCCCCGTGAGGAAACACCACAGGCCTCCTCCCAGACAGAGATCACCAAGTACATCTAAGGGAGATGGACACGGGGTGAGAAACTACTAAAGGCCTCTAGGCAGAACTGGCCTAGTAATGGGAAAGGCTGTCTACCTCCTGGGCATGGATAACAATCCAGAGAATCTCCCTCTCCATCTCATCCCTCTGCCCCATGATGATCCCAACTCAACAGCCTTTGAGATTCACTCACTTACAGAGAGAAAGACCAAGGTAAGTGCCTATGAAATTAAACCAGGCTGTGAATAATGAGTAATAGTGAATGTTCTCCTTTAACCAGCTTTGGCAAAAAAGGAACATGAAAGAGCCTGGGGAGGTGTCAGGATCTGAAGGGGGAACAGGAGAGAAGGGAACAATCTCCAAGGAAGGAAAAAGATGCACAGAGGGAGGAGGCTGAGAATAGGCTTTACCCACTGGGAGATTTTGCGTCGGGTCAGGTTTTTCTCTGAGAATTTAAAATGTCATATTGTTATATTACCCGGGACACAGAAATGGAGCTACTTCAAGCCATTCCTCTAAATAGCTGCACTCCTAGCTGCTGGGTGCCAGGATGCTTGGCTCCAAATCCAAAAGCAATGTTTATGGGGGCAGGATTGGCTCGTGGTTGTATGCATGGTGTGTGTCAAAGAGTGGAAAGAGTGTGTAGGGGTGGGTGACTCTGTAGAAATAGTTTTCCATCCTACAGTAGCTCTTGACCTAAGGAAGACCTTCCCCATGGAATCTGAGCTTAGCATTCCAGGGCAGTCTTAATCTAGGCTTAAGAAGGTTGTAGTACAGAGAGAAACCAGCATTTAAATGTGAGGTAACTTATCCTCCTTGTAGAGCACCTCAGAATGTCCCTGACTTCTCCTACTCTCCTGCCCAGAGTGAGTTCCTAGGTAGGATGACTAGGAGAAGGCACTTACAAAGAACCAGCACTGAGCTGGTTCTCACTGTCTGGCAAAAAAACATATTGTCCCATCATTTTTTATGAGCCAAGTTCTAACAGAGGAATCAAAAAATCCTCCGGCCAGGAAAGGAATGTGTCATTCCTATCAATGGGCTCGATTTCACCAAGTGCACCTTTGTGTTTTACCAGAGGTTTCGGAGTTGGGCTGGTACAAACAGGAGAAGGAGGCTAGGTCTCCAGATGCATTCATTTTTTGAGGCCTCATCTCTTCCCATGGGCCACTGCTACCGTCTTCTAGTGTCCTGCTCAGCTGGCCAGGGCCGCTCGAAGGATGGAAGGGCTGAGCAGACCTGGCTCCTTGGTTGCTGGGCAAAGCAGCTGAATGAGCAGAAGTGGCAGCGCTGGCATCTGTCCAGAAAGGAATGTGAGTGAGAAACCAACAGGGAAGTCATAAATGAGTGTTTTAAAGGTAATTATAGTGAGTTGAATAGTGTCCTCCAAAAATTCATTCAGTGAATGAATTCATTCAGTTCACTTGGAACTTCAGAATGTGATCTTATTTGTAAATGGGGTTTCTGCAGATGTAATAAGCTAAGATGAGATGATACTGAATTGGGGGTATGTCTTAAATCCAACATGACTGATGTCCTTATGAGAAAAGAGGAGACACAGAGATAAAGAGACACACAGAGAGGAAGACCATGTAACAACAGAGGCAGAGATTGGGGTGATGTGTCTACAAGCCAGGGGAACACCCCCAGAAACCACCAGAAGCTAGGAAGAGGCAAGGAAGAATCCTTCCCTGGAGCCTTCGGAGGGAGCATGGCCCTGCTGACGTCCTGATTTCAGACGTTTTCACCTCCAGAACTGTGAAAGAATACATTTCTGTTTGAAGACGCCCAGTTTGTGTTTCTCTGTGTTGGAAGCCCTCGAAAACTAATAAAGCAATCCATGCAATGAAGGCTAAGGCAGATGTCATCAGATTCATTTTCCAAGGACTCCCCATTTCACTCTAAAGTCACTGGTATTTCTCAGCCTATGACATAAGCAGTAGTGGTTAGATGTGATATCTGAGCATCACAGCACATACAGGAAAAATATGGGGCCCCTCTCCTAGCTCCTTTTATGATTCCCAATGCTGGAAAGAGCCTGGGGAGGTACTTCAGAAATGTTTCTTCTAATAGCAGGACTCACACCCAGTCCTAGGAGTTCAGACAGTGAGGGGTGAAGCATTTTGTTGGTCTGTAAACAGGTGACTATTTATTCAACATTCTATGCCCTTGCCAGAAACACACCAGCTACTCCTTCCTGGGATTGTTTTACATTGAGGCTATTGGAGGAGGAGGGGAAAATGGCCTCCACTTCTGGACAATGTGCAGAGAACCGAGACAGTGTTGCTTCCACTCCTAGTGGTTCTCGTTCTGGCCTCGGCTGACTCTGGACCTGCAGTGAAGCTGAGCGGGTGTCTAAGGCAAGTGGTGATTTGGATTCTACCTAGAATGGCTTTTGACACTGCAAAAATAATTCTTATGTACAGCTCACATTGTCTGGCTCCTATCCAAAGAACAGCTAGTGTACTGTTGCATAGGGGATTGTAGAAGCAGAAAACACATGGCATCTTACAGTTCAATGATGCCATGACAACATGGCCAGATCCTCTGGGCCCTTCATTACTGTCTCCCTTTAAGAGAAAAAACCCAGCTGGGGTGGCAGGGCCATAATTCAGAGAAAAGTTTGAGTCTTTCCCCTTTCAAGGACTATTATCAAGGGCTAAAGAATAGACAAGTTTCTCCTCTGAGCAGGTGGGAGTGAGGTTTCTGTTTGCCCTCAAAACATCATGTTCTTTTAGGAACTGTATATTTAAATCAGTATCCAGTAGGTCTCTCCTTCTCCAGTTGATAAAATATCAGATACTAATTAGAATCACTCTGAAATAAAGAGTAAGGACAACTATGTTAAGTCTTTAATACAATGCCTGACTTAAAGTAGGAACTCAATCAAAATGTGATTTCCACCCCCTTTCAAACCTCCTTTATCTCAGAAAATCAGTTTACTCTCAACCATGGCCGTAGGAAGTTCTAAGTTTTATCAGTAACAGTGATCAGTGTTTTAACATTCCCTGGCCATACCACATGGGGAACATGCCCTACACTGCAGATGGAAAGCAACAGAGACTAGACTTTTGTGAGGGAAATTTAGCCTCACAGTGTAGTTGTCATGCCAGTGCACTACAGGTTGACTGTTCTAGAAATTCTGATTCAAAAAGCAAAGAGGAAGTGGTGATAAACAGTTGCCCCTCTGAAAGGACAGTGACTTCCAATGGGAAAGAGAAGGGCTTCAATCTCCCTCAGGAAAGATATTCGCAGCAAAAAGTAAGGCTAGTGCCCTCCAGATGCATCACTCCAGAGGCCACACCTCACTGCAGGCAGTGGCAGGGATTGCAGGTAAGGGAAACATGGGCTTGCCCTTCTGCCATCTCTCGGGGCAGTGCTGAGGTTGAAACAAGTGCCTCTGGGCAACTGAATCAAGGATGCACGTAAAAGTCCCATTGGCCCCTTGAAATAGGTGATGTACACATCAGGGGCAGCTCATCTATTTACAAATGGTTAGATAGAAGTGTAATATGTATAAGGTCTTGTCCCATCTTCAGAGGCCAGAACTCTGTGCTGGGTACACAGAGCAGAAAAAGTGAAATGAGAAAAACACTGGCTCCAGAAGCCTAGCAAAAGAGGTGCTGAGGAGTGAGCACCCTCCGTATGCAGCCCTTGACTTCTCAGGCTGCAGAGTGAAATACTCAGAACCTGAGCTTTGAGTCAGGTAGACTCAAAGTGTATGTTACCCCAAGCTGCTTTGTCTTCAGTAAGTTCCTCAACTTTGCTGAGTCTCAGTGTCCTCCACTAGAAAAGCAGAACACCACTATCTACTTGAGGGGATCACTGTGTCAATTAAATGAGGCAACATATGCATAGTGGTCAATAATGTGAGCATAATAGGTGCTCAATCAATGAGAAGTCCCTGTTTTTCTTTGGCTGCTATAATCTTAGAGGAAACATTTTGCTGCTTTGCTCCTCATTGTGAAATGAGAAACAGGAGTAGTACCAGATCAAAACCCATTACGGGCTGGGCATGGTGGCTCATGCCTGTAAGCCCAGCACTTTGGGAGGCTGAGGCAGTTGGATCACCTGAGGTCAGGAGTTCGAGACCAGCCTGGCCAACATGGTCAAACCCTGTCTCTACTAAAAATATAAAAATTAACCGAGCGTGGTATCAAGCACCTGTAATCCCAGCTACTTGGGAGGCTGAGGCTGGAGAATCACTTGAATGCAGGAGGCAGAGGTTGCAGTGAGCTGAACAACAACAACAACAACAACAACAAGGCGACAACAGCAAAACTCCATCTCAAAAACAACAACAACAACAACAACAACAAAAAACCATTATGGCTCATTCATTACCTAAAATAGCCACTTTAGAAAAAAACATCAGCTACAGCCAAGGACTAAAAATAATTTCCTGGTATTGTCCACATTAGGATTTGATTCATACTGGCCTAAAACTTCAAACACTTTTCTCAGGAGGAAAAAATTAAAGAGAAAACTGAGCAGGAGAAAAAAACTTAATCTCTTCTTCCCATCTCTACCAAGGCTACCCCAAGGACCCTCTCAGGGAAATTCTCAGGAGGGACATGCTATGCTGGTTGGTGATATACTCAGCTTGAACCTCACAGAATGTCCCTATTTACTGATGGTTTAGAGGGTGTTATAGCAAACTTATTAGGATGATGGATGGGGTCTGTAAATTCACAAATGATAAAGGTGATTTTAGTGGTGAACAAAAAGTAGGAACTGTGGCTGTTTACCCCAGGGATTCCAGGATCAGGTGCACAATGTTAGCAACACTCATGTCCCTAGTTTGAAAGATGACATAATTGTGTGCAGTGAAGAGGAACTATTTGCCCCCTTTCTCCCCTTCCCAACTCATGCCCCCCAAGTCCAACACCATGTATGTGTCAGAGAGGATCTAGTGACTGATGACATGTGAGACTGGGAATGGAGAAAAGCTACCAGAAACCTTTGGGGCTTATGCTGAGCACTGAGTCCCATAGCTATGTCCGACTAGGTGCATCACAGTGGATCTATAGGGCCCAGCTGCAAAGATGCCACCTCTTGGCCTAGATAATGTGTGAGCACCGAAAAACTGGAACCATGTGGGTACTCACTGACTGCAGTCACTGAAGGACGCACTTCCTGCTTGTCAAGCTGTGGAGACGTGCTGCTCAGGGAGTGATGTGGGGCAGACCGGGTGTGGTTGTTGCACCAGATCTGGGGCTGAGTCTGGGACTGGGCATCCCGCTTGGTCTCTAGGACTTCTGTCACTTTACTCATATTATGCATCTTCCTCAAGATACTAGTGGGGTAAGAAGGAAGAAAAAATAAAGGCCACCTAATGCCACAGCTGTACTAATCTGGAGGCTCACAGGAGAAGTAAAGGGGAGGTCAAGAGGATCATTCCTTCAGAGGAGAAGCCAAACAATTCATCTCTGTTTAGGGATAGAGTATGGAGGGAAGGCAGGGGGCAGAGAGAGCAGCAGTTGTCGGGTGCATTGGCTACAAACATCCTGAGGAAAAGAGAAGCCTTAACGGGCCCTTTAAATAACACTCATGCATCCTTCACAAGACACCCAGAGACCCATAAGAGTTCAACTCCAGGTATGGGCATGGTGGGGCATGCCTGTAATCCCAGCAATCTGGGAGGCCAAGGCAGGAGAATTGCTTGAGCCCAGGAATTCAAGACCAAATTGAGAAACATAGTAGAGACCCTCTCTCTACAACAAATAAAAATAAAAAATGAGCTGGGTGTAGTGGTGTGCACCTGTAGTCCCAGCTACTCAGGAGGCTGAGGAGAATCACTTGAGCCCAGGAGGTCAAGGATGCAGTGAGCAGTGATCATGCCACTGCATTCCAGCCTGAGCAACAGAGCAAGACCTCATCTCAAAAATAAATTTTAAAAAATGTAAAAAGAAAAAAAAAGTTCAACTCACTCTGTGAACATAGTTTTTTAAATAGTATTTGCCGTAGGCCGTTTAAAACAGATTCCCCGGGCAATGTAGCCTCACTGGTGTCTTGCAGTTTCTAGATCTCCTTCCCTAAGTATAGAGACACAGTATAAACTTTTGTTTGCAAGGAAAATTTGTAGCTGTTTAACATCTTCCAGCACTCCTTGGGTCACCCTTGAAGAAATCAGATATAATCTTACTCTGGTCTTTAAATAAGGGAAATCCCTGGAGGTTCAGAAGACTCCTAAGACCCAGATAGGTTAGAGCAGTTCTATATTACTAAACTGGTGAATTAATTGGTGAAAATAAAAGAATAATACATTTAAAAAAAATTTTTAAAAGTGATTTTTTTTTATCACTAAGGATACATAATGGTTTAATGAATAAATAAGCTATTTGTTTTTTTACTGGCCGTGTATGCTACTATTTCTTTGAGCTTCTGGCTCTTGCTTCTGGATCCTTCACCAGATTACATCTTCGATAGTCCCTGAAAATTTGGAGTTACCTGAGAGTCGAAGGCACCTGTCCTACTTGATTCTTCTTAGTTGTACAGTCATCTGAGAACAAAATTCAAAAGGACCAGTCATGCTTTAAGTGGGTCTCATTTCCCAGACTGCAGACAAACACGGAGTTCTATCTGGGACCAGAGACCTAACTACCTGATGCTTGCCTTGATTCCAGGATACTCTGAATTTTCCCAGATCTTGGGTTGAGTCTTTAGAGAGCTTGCCTGGCAGGCTTTCCTGAGCCCACCATGAAGGCCATCATCTCTACTTGCTTTGCCCTGAGTCACAGCAAAAAGCTAAAAATGTCTTTATTCCCACAGATCATGGGACACGTATCCAGCTGCCCTCTGGACCACTCCAGTCAAAGCCTCCAAGTCCTGGCACAAGGCCAGCACCCAAACGCCTGGCTGTGCGTTCCACCATAGATTTCATGCAGAACCTTCTCCCTTCTCCAAGATGATAGACATCCCTGTCCCACCTGCCATGAGGAGACAGCACAGTGAACTCGCCTTCTGCTACTATGTGCCCTTGGGTCCTCAGGGAGAAATTTCATGTAAAAGGCTCCTGAAACAGCTAATTATCTCAACACCTTGTACTAGTACACACAGCGCCTAAACCATGCCAAAGTCAACATGATTCTTTTTCATTTTTTTGAAGTGCGCTGATTAATGTTACTTATTTAATCCCTAGAACAATCATGTAACATTCAAGGACTGGTATTATTTGACTTAATTTTTTAGGTAGAGAAACAGAAATCAAAATAAATATTAACCTGTCCAGAGCTAGTAAGGAACACATATAAGCTAGAGGTAGGGTCTTTGGATTCCCAGTTCAGGGCCCTTCCCAGTTCAGCTGCCCTTGTTCCTTCTGTCTTTCTGCCAATTAGTTTCAGATAAATACCATCATCCCCGGGGATGCCTCCTGCCCTCACAGTCATATTCCATGAGGGATGGAGGTGCTGGTGGTCATCATGGCATCCTCAACCCTTCTTCTTGGAGCTCCTTACCAGCCAGTCCTGACTCTGTCATGGTCTTAAGGTGGTAATTACAAAGCAGGACACCAGTTGAAAAGTGACTTGTGAATGGGGGTGGGATCCTGTGAACTTAGGACCTTGGGAAAGACTGAAAATCTTCCTAAGCTCTGCAGCCAACTTACCCGTGCTGAATTTTCTGGCAAGGCTCTCTGCCAGCTGGCTTCCTTTGGCCAGCTGCTCGCGGAAGTGCTGCTCCATATAGCGGTCAATGTTATTGCTGTGGAGTAGCTCCTCAAAGGCCTTTACTGTGTTCTTGACATGCTGAATGAGAAGCTCAGAGGCCACTCTGCCAAGCTTCATCTTCTGCCGTAGATGGGTTAACTCTCGAGCCTGATCCTGAATCAAGGAATGATACTTCCTAAAGTAGTAAAAAAGAAGTAAATTTGGATAGGAATAACTGATAGGTTATAGCAATTTAGGAGAAGGGACTTGAGAGTATCACCAAAGGAGGCCACACACTGAATTCTAGCATATGTTTAGTGTCCTGAATATGGTAAAAGGAATGAAGGAAATGAAAACAATCTTTATGTGAAAGATCCCTTCTGAGATTGTCATTTTCCCTGCCACTTGCTAAAGAAGAAAAATCACATGATCATATTAATAGATGAAGAAAAAGCATTTGACAAAATTCAACACTCATTCATCATACAAACTCTCAACAAAGTGGGAATAGAGAACTTCCTCAACTTGATAAAGAACATCTATAGAAACTCTACACTAATGTCATACTAGAAACTAGAAGCTTTCTCACTAACATCAACAATAAGGCAAGGATTTCCTCTCTTAGCACTCCTTTTCAACATCATACTGGAAATCCTAGCTAATGCAGTAAGATAAGCAAAGGAAATAAATGGTATACAGATTAGAAAAGACGAACTAAAACTGTCTTTGTTCACACATGATGCAGTTATCTATGTATTATACAAAATCTCCAACATGGTGAAACCTATCTTTACTGAAAATACAAAAATTAGCCAGGGGTGGTGACATGAACTTGTAATCCTTGGGAGGCTGAGGCAGGAGAAGTGCTTGAACCCAGGAAGCGGAGGTTGCAGTGAGCTGAGATCATGCCACTCTGCACTCCACCCTGAGCGACAAAGTGAGACACTGATTCAAAAAAAAAAGAAAGAAAAGAAAAAGAAAAAGAAAAGAAAGAAAATATGAAAGAATTGTCAACAAAAATCTCCTGAAACTAGTAAGTGATTATGTCAAGGTAAAATCTAAAAAAACATGTACAAGATCTGTATGAGGAAAACTACAAAACTCTGTTGAGATCACAGAAGCACTAAATACACAGAGAGATATTCTGTGTTCATGAACAGGAAGACTAAATATTGTTAAGACGTCAGTTCTTCCCAACTTGATCTGAAGATTCAATGCAATACCAATCAAAATCTTAGCAAATAAATTTTGTGAATATCAACTAATAGATGCTAAGGTTTACATAGAGAGGCAAAAGACCCAGAATGGCCAACACAATATTGAAAAGGAACAGAGGGCTGATTTGACCTGGTTTCAAGACTTACTGTAAAGCTACAGTAATCAGGACAGTATGAGATTTGTGAAAGAATAGACAAATAAGTCAGTGGAACAGAATAGAGATTCCAGAAGACTCCAAAATATAGCAGATTGATCTTTGACAAAGGGACAAGGGCAATGGACAAAAGATGGTATTTTCAACAAATGGTGCTGGAACAACTGGACATCCACATGCAAAAAAAGTGAATCTAGACACAGACTTCACATTCTTCATGAAAACTTACTCAAAATGGATCATAGAAAAAAATGTAAAACAGAAAATGATTAAAAACCCCTAAAAGATAACAACAGCAGAAAATCTAGATGACCTTGTGTTTGGTGATGACTTTTTATTTATTTTATTTATTGATCTAAAGATTCAATGCAATACCAATTTTAATTTAGAGACAGTCTCTAAACAAATAAATTATTTTATTTATTTGTTGGAGGGCATGATCATGGCTCACTGCAGCATAATCACACCATGGTGTGATCATGGTGTGATTATGGCTTACTGCAGCCAAACTCTTGGGCTCAAGTGATCCTCTTGCCTCAGCCTTCCAAAGCCTGTGATTATAGGTGTGAGCCACTGAGCCCAGTTATATGATTACTTTTCATATATAACACAAAAGGCATGATCCATAAAAGAAATAACTGATAATCTGGACTTCATTAAAATTAAAAACTTCTGCTCTGCAGAAAACACATCAAGAGAATGAGAAGACAACACACTGGGAGAAAATAATTGCAAAAGACATTATCTGGTAAAGGACTATTATCCCAAATACACAAAGAATTCTTAAACTCAACAATAAGAAAATGAACAACACCATAAAAAATGAGCAAAAAACCCTGAACAGACACCTCACCAAAGATGACGGTAAATAAGAACATGAAAGGATGCTCAACATCATGTCATTAGGGAAATGCAAATTAAAACAATGAGATACCACTCTACACCTATTAGAATGGCAAAATCCAGAACACTGATAACACCAAATGCTGGTAAGGATGTGGAACAACAGGTATTTTCATTTATTGCTGGTGGGAATGCAAAATAGTACAGCCACTTTGGAAGACAGTTTGGCATTTTCTTGTGAAACTAAACATACTGTTACCAAATGACCTAGCAATCTGCTCCTTAGTATTTACCCAAATGAGGTGAAAACTTAACTTCACACAAAAACCTGCACATGATGTTTATAGCAGCTTTATTCATAACTGCAAAAACTTGGAAGCAACCAAGATGTCCTTCAGTAGGTGAATGGATTCATTTTGGTACATGCAGTCAATGGAATATTATTTGGTACTAAAAAGAAATGAGTTATGAAGCCATGATGACATGAAAGAAACTTAAGTGTGTATTACTAAGTGAAAGAAGCCAATCTAAAAAAGCTACATACTGTATGACTCTGACTATATGACACTATGGAATAGGTAAAACAGTGGAGACAGTAAAAAGATCAGTGGTTGCCAGGTGTTAGGGTGAAAAGGAGAACGAATAAGCAGAGCACAGAGGATTTTTAGGGCAGAGAGTAGTCATTCATTATAATAGTGGATACATGTCATTATACATTTATACTTGTGTCAAAACCTATAGGATATACACCACCAAGGATGAACCCCACTGTAAACTGTGGACTTTGGGTGATGATGAGTTAACGTAGGTTCATCAATTGTAACAAATGTTATCACTCGGGGGCAAGATGTGGATAGTGAGGGAGGCTGTGTCTGTGCATGGGTAAGGGGTATATGGGAACTCTCTGTTACTTTCCACTCAATTTTGCTGTGAACTTAAAACTGCTCTTAAAAAGTCTATTAAAAAAAGAATGATCACAGGAGTATAATTTTTAAAAATATATTTGATAAAGTAGGTGTAGTGTAGGCTTTGCGAGAGCACAGGATTCTAATGTTATCTCTGCCAGAGGCTATTATGCAACTTTGATCAAATGACTGTCTCTTAGGGCGTAAGTGTTCTCATTCTAAAATGATGAAATGAGACTAACTGACTCTTGAGTTTTTTGGGTGTTTTGTTTTGTTTGAGATGGAATCTCGCCCTGTCATCCAGGCTGGAGTGCAGTGGTGCGATCTTGGCTCACTGCAATTTCCGCCTCCCGGGTTCAAGTAATTCTTCTGCCTCAGCCTTCTGAGTAGCTGGGATTACAGGAGCCCACCACCATGCCCAGCTAATTTTTGTATTTTTAGTAGAGACGGGATTTCACCATATTGGCCAGGCTGTCTCCAACTCCTGACCTCAAGTGATCCGCCCACCTCAACCTCCCAAAGCGCTGAGATTACAGGCGTGAGCCACTGCACCTGGCCTAGAGTTATTTTACCTCTAACTAACATTATTCTCTGGGTCAGTGAAATTTAAGTGGAATATATTGGGCAGTGACCTAATGGAGCATGAAGCAGGATTTGAATCACTTCCAAAGCTGTGCACCAACCACTTAGACAAATTAGTGATTTCAGTAACTTAGTATTTCAGTAACTTAGTATTTCAGTAACTGGTGCTCACAGGCAAATGCGTAATGGATTAACCCCATATTATTAAAATGCTTCCAAAAAGCTATAGGAAAATGGCCATTAAAAACTAACTGACAAATCTAGCCAATGGGCCTCTATTTGACAATTCTGCAAGCTTATTTTTAAAATTGAGCTTATCAAAATTGCCATTCCAGAAGCCAGGACCTGAGTTTCCATAGGGGATGGAGTAGAATGGAGGGGCCTCTGTATAAATCTACCTCCTCGGGAACTGGGATGGTTCAGCATTCACCGGAGTAACATATGAAGAAATAGGAGATTCCTACATGCTCCTGGGGATCCAGAAGAGAGACCACTCACGTGACTGGAAGATTTCCAGCTCAGGTAACCATGAAGACCATATATTTGGTGAATACATGCAATGTTAGTTAGAATAAAACCAAATTTCTCTGAATAATATAAAGTCATTTCTAATAAAACTTTAATAGATTTTTCTCTAAAGAAATTTCCAGGAAGGTGTTAAGAGAAAGTCCTACAATTAAGGTATGGAGGCTGGCTGCAGGCCCTGAAAGCTACTCTGACGATCGATGACTTAATGCTGATAGTGGGAAGTCTCTTACCCACTGCGGGATACGGAGGAGAATTCTGCTTCCTCAGACTGAGGCTTCTGCTCACTCACTTCCTTCTCAGCAGGTCCCTTCTTCTCTGAGGGCTGATGCATCCCAGCCTTCAGCTGGGACATTTTCTCATGAAGAGTTCTCTTACAGCCGTCTTTGAAAGGAAGGACAGAGAAGAAAGACGTCTACGTCTCCACAATGGCCAGGCTTTTCTCCAAAGCTACCTAAAGAATTGAAACAAAATTATGGCTTCCAGAAGTTAGATTATTAGTGAAGATCCTGTAGGAGGATAGAATCTCAAGAGCAGAGCCTACCAGGAAGTAAAGAGTGAAGCGTACAACTTTCTCAGCCGGGGGGGGCCAACAATCCACTGGGTAAAGGAAAGATGGAGCAAGTGCGGGGAGTGGGGGGGGTGCTGTTATGAGGAGGATGTGGAGGTCCCACAAGTGTTTAGAAAAAACAGGCAAAAGATGAAATAAATGAATGATAACAAATGGGGTTTAAACTGAGCTAAGGGGTAAGTATTTTTGTTTCTTATAGTTGAGATAAGGTTCTTATAAAGTTCCCAGGGAATATCCCTTCAGAAGTCAGGAAGCATTTTTGCTTCCACAAGTTTTGAGAGCCATGAAGGCAGGAACACATTTTGAGATGCCAGAGCTCAAATCCCATGTCACTGGGACATCAACGATAGCGCTATGGAGAAGACTCAGGTTGCCAGCTCTTGAGTCACAATCACAGCATTAGAATGTGGAAGCAGCTGCAGAACCCAAGGAAGCCCTGCTTTCTGATAGCCACGCTCAATGCAAGGCTGCCTGTTTCACCCTGGAGGTCTCTATATCAGTGGAGGCCACCCCTCAACAGCCGGCTCTAATGTTTGTGTACCCTTTTGCTTATATTGTCAACCAATTTCTAACCACAGTAAAATAACCTAAGTATACCTCTCCTTGAAAACATCAAAACATTTTTTTTTTAGACAATTTCAATAAAAACAATTCTTGTGGCTTTTCCTTAATTAATTTTTTTTTAAACTTCTACTGATTCTTACTGTTCCTATTTAGGAACTCTCCAGGTTTTCACTTCCTACATTCTTTCAAAAGTATAGTGACTACAACTGGAGAATGATCATCTAAGTATTACTAATAAATTTAGCATCATGTTGTATTACCTTTTAATACATAATAAATAATATATCTCAATGCGATACTTGCTTCCTTTCCCTTGCAGTAGCAATGTGTAGGGGTTTCATTTAATATGAGGTCAATTTTTACCTTCCAAACTCCCATCCCACCCACCTTTGCTTGCACTGATGGGAAGGCTCAGTCTATATCTGGTTTGCCCACATTCCTAGGCTATAGACTTCTAGGGCTCCCAATCTGAGAGGCACCATTTTTTTGGAAGGTACTGAATTTTAATTTCTGTCTCCTTTGCATCCTTACCAATGCAAACTGCTTTCAGCCACTCTCTGCTAGCCTCTCACCAGCACAGAGCTGAACTCACAAATGCCTTGAGGGGAAAACCTTTACCAAATGTTCAGTTCACATCTCAATTCACTCTAGAATCTTGGCTTTTCAAGTCAGAATACCAGGACAGCTTCACATGTCTACCCATTCCCCACCCCCATGAGGTTACTTAAAGTGCTGCTGTTTTCTCTGATTCTTAACCACTGCCCTCTCCCCAGCTTCTCAGCCTCTTGTCCCTTGCCAAGAACTAGCAAATGCCCTGAGGGGAAAAAATGTTTAATTCCAATGATCTTTTCTCTCTCTCTCTCTCTCTCTCTCCCCCCACCCGCTTTCTGTAGCTGGCCCTGTGGGTCCTAGCTTTTCAAAGACTTCAAACAGTATTCCTTTAAACAAGATTTTATCTACTTCTTTTCAAAGGGAGTGCTGGTTTGCTACAAAACTCTATCGTAACTGAAAGAGGAAATCTACAAATTCCAGGTAAATCAAATTTTCTTACCTTGATTTCTGAAGAAAACAAAAAAAAAAAAAGAGAAGAGGCCACTGGTAGGTACATACTTGCATTTTTCTTGTAATACTTAGGTAATTCTGAATGGGTATTAAAGGCTCTTGCTAGAATCAAGTACAAAAGATTGTCTACCATGAACTAAACAATCATGCCTGCCCAAGGTCCAAGAATTTGATAAGGTTGGATCCAGTCCCCTGGTGCACTAACAGAGATCCTGTAGGGGATAGAATCCTCCTATAGAATTCTATGTCTGCACTTTGAGTAGATCCTTCAAGTAACCAGTTTTTCAGACACCTGGCCATTAATGTGGGGAGAAGAGGTCAACTAAACCACTGAACATTTCTAATTTATTTTAGGGAATGTTGAAAGTTCTCACTGGCACAGTTAGAAATGAAAACAAAGACATAATAATAATAATAATAATAATAATAACTGTTTCAAGAGCATTATCATATGACTGGCATGGTTCCTAAGTGCTTTACTGTCTAGTAACTTATTTAGTCCAAGTAACAACCCTACAAGATAGTGTTGATTTTTTTATTTGGTTGTTGTTGTTGTTGCTGCTGCTGCTGTTGTTTGAGATGGAGTCTCTCTCTGTCACCCAGGCTGGAGCGTAGTGGCGTGATCTTGGCTCACTGCAACCTCTGCCTCCCGGGTTCAAGTGATTCTCCTACCTCAGCCTCCTGAACAGCTGGATGACAGGCCCCCACCATCCTGCCCAGCTAATTATTGTATTTTTAGTAGAGATGGGATTTGACCATGTTGGCCAGGCTGGTCTCAAACTCCTGATCTCAGGAGATCTGCCTACCTTGGCCTCCCAAAGTGCTGAGATTACAGGCTGAGCCACCGCGCCCAGTCGATAGTGTTGATTATTATAACCCCTTGTTGCAGATGAGAACATTGCACTGAAAGACTGAACTTACCTTTCCAAGGGTCCCATCATCTCTATGAGATTCAGAGCCAAGACTCATCCAGACCCTTGCTCTGAGCCATTAGGCTTGGTGGGAACTAAGAAGATCTCACTAAGATGCGCATTCCCTCCTTCTTGCTCAGTGTGCAAGATTTCGAGGAGAAAATGGAAATTAAAAGTAAGACCTACAAGATGGCTATTATTTTAAAAAGAAGGAAAGAAAATTACCAGTGTTGGTGGTGATGTGGAAAAATTGAAACCCCCGTGCACTGTTGTTGGGAATGTATTAGGTTGGTGCAAAAGTAACTGTAGTTTTTGTCATTACTTTTAATGGCAAAAATCGCAATTACTTTTGCACCAACCTAATAAAATGGTACAGCTACTGTGGAAAACCATATGGTGGTTACTAAAAATATTAAAAATAATATCACATGATCCAACAATTTTACTTCTGAATATATACTCAAAAGAACTGAAAGCAAGGACTCAAAGAGATATTTGTTCACCTACATCAATAGCAGTATTACAATAGCTAAAGAATGGAAACAACCCCAGTGTCCAACAACAGGTAAATGAATAAACAAAATGTGGCAAATACCTGCAATGGAATATTATTCAGCCTTAAAAGGAAAAGAAATTCGGACACATGCTACAACATAGATGAACCTGAAGACATTATGCTAAGTGAAATAAACCAGTCACAAAGGGAAAAATACTATATAATTCTGCTTATATGAAGTACCTAGAGTAGTTAAATTCGTTAGAGACAGGAAATAGAAAGGTGGTTGTGCCAGGGGATAGGGAGGGAAGAATGGGAAATTAATGGGTATAGGGTTTAGGAACTTTAGTCTAAGAAAGTAGAATATTGGATGCCAGAAATTTGGTTTTCTTTCTGTTCCAAGATCCCCTTTAGCTAGAGCAATATATTGAAGTCAGAGTTCTTAAGGGAAAATCATTGTGTATGGAGATCTTCCTGTGGATCAAATGTGACTCAATAGTAGATCAAAAGATATTCCACTTTTGCAAATATTGACACCTGTTGGACTCACAGGATTTTTATCTAGTATTAGATAGATAAGATGTGAACCACTTCTGCAGTGAACACTGCAGACTCAAATACTAGGAAATACTAAGAACCTCAAGACAAACAAATAGCCAATCCAAAAAGACTCACAGACTAGATAAGCTGCCAGCTACCACCTAACAGATAATGTATTCCTGTTAACCACTATCCCCAGATGTTCATTTCATAAAATCAAAAACAGAATTCCATATTGATCACTGATGGGAAAAAATAGTCAACAATGTACAAATGGGAGAGAGAAAAAATACTTGTCTAAGAATTACATTTAGTGTCTAAAAGTCAAATAGCTCAATTTCTGCTCATGAGATTCAACAGATGAACTGAGGGAACATATGCCAATAACTCTGAGATTACAGGTCTACATGGAATGCCCGTAAGGTGCAGGATTCTATTAGCTGTGATGATATGTCTCACGTGGGCAAATCTTTGTGGAAATAGCAGGAAAAAAGAAAAACTGTCAAGGAATAATATAGAGACAGTGTGATGGTTAATTTTATGTGTTAACTTGGCTAGACCACAGTGCCCAGGTATGTGGTCAAATATGATTTCAGAGGTTTCTGAGAAAGGGTCTTTTGGATGAGAGTAACATTTACATTAGTAGACTTTGAGTAGAGCAGGTTGTCCTATGTCATGTGGGTGGACCTCATCCAATCAGGTGAAGGCCTGAATGGAATGAGATTGACCTTCCTAGAAGAAGAAGAAATTCTACCAACAGAATATCTTAGGACTTGCATAACAACTCTTCCCTGGGTCTCCAGCCTCCCTGCCTCGAACTTTCACAATCATGTGAGCGAATTCTTTAAAATAAATCAATAAAAATAGATAATAGATAGATGATTCTGTTTCTCTGGAGAACCTTGACTAATATAGATAGCATACTAATTCACCCTTGCCATTTACAGAGGAAAGAGTGGAGTAATAAATATCAGACACCAATAACGTTTTTCTTCCCTTGTGAAAGCTGCTTGGCACAAAGCTATTACGGGCGCGGTGGCTCAAGCCTGTAATCCCAGTACTTTGGGAGGCCGAGACGGGTGAATCACGAGGTCAGGGATCGACACCATCCTGGCTAACCCGGTGAAACCCCGTCTCTACTAAAAAATACAAAAAATTAGCAGGGCGAGGTAGCGGGCGCCTGTAGTCCCAGTTACTCGGGAGGCTGAAGCGGGAGAATGGCATAAATCCAGGAGGCGGA